AGGTTTCAGCAACCCAAATCGCCATACTGCACTCCAGCTTGGGGGACAAAGTGAGACTCCGTCTCAAAAAACAAAAAACAAAAAAGAGGACAGGGTTTCAAAAAGCTTCCCAAAGTGCTGGTAGTACAGGCGTGAGCTGCTCTGTCCATCCCAAGGAAATAATTTGAACTGAATGAAAATGACAACACAACATATCAAAATTGATAAAACTAAAAAAAAAAAAATTGATGAAACTAAAGCAATATTGGAGGTAAATTTATAGGACTAACTACCTAAGAAAGGGCTCAAACCAGTGACCTTGGTTTCCACATGAACCTAGAAAAAGAGCATATTAAACCCAAAGTAAAAGAAAGAAAATAGTAAAGATCAGACAGGAAAACAACAAAATAGAAAAATTGATGAAACAAAAAATGGGTTCAAGATCAATAAAATACTTCAGAATTAACTGTGTCAAGCTAGTATGTACAAAGACAGTGCTTAAGTTATTTATCTTAATTTGTCTCTAAATTCGAAGAAGTTATGCAGGAGACACAAGGAAGTATTAGATACAGACTCAGCATCCGTATCAGATATCGAGGGCACAGCGGCTCACGTCTGTACTACCAGCACTTTGGGAGGCTTGATGAAACCCTGTCTCTCCTTTTTTTTTTTTCTGGACGAAGTCTCAGTTTGTCCAAATGGGGTGCAGTGTGGCAATCTTGGGTCACTGAAACCTCCACCTCCTGGGTTCAAGCAATTCTCCTACCTCAGCCTCTCCAGTAGCTGGAATTATAAGCATGTGCCACCATGCCTGGCTAATTTTTATATTTTTAGTAGAGATGGGGTTTCGCCACGTTGGCCAGACTCCACAAATTTCTATCTGAAATAATATAAAAGGTTTACCTATCCTTGGACAAACAACATAGCTCTTCTGAGCAATAGTTTCCTCAGAAGTAAAGGGACTGAATGAGATCATCTCTAAAATCTCTTTAAGTTCTAAGATTCTCTACATGCCAAAGAAGAGGTACACAACTACTAACAGCTCAAGAGGGCCTGAACAACAAGGTAGTCAAACCTTGGGAACCAGAATTAGGACCTTCCTCAAAAATAACCATCTTAATCAAAGAGAGAAAGTTATTCAATCCACTCACAAGTAAATTAATAACTTTAAATATCCACTTTGGAGGAAAAAAAATCGGAGAATTTTGGTCTAATTTAAAATCAAGGACCAACATTACGAATTACTTACTCTTTGCTTCTCAGCTTATCACTCCTGTGAGATGGCCACCTTACATGCATCATCTCTTCCTCAATTCTGTCCTCAGTATTACTCCTGGTGAAGTGTGTGTGTGTGTGTGTGTGTGTAATTACAAAATTAGGAAGTTATAGAGGGTGAGATGGAATGAAGGCCTCTTGGTAATCAACAATTTGTTCAACTTACAGCTATTGTGGGCCAGGTATTTTTATTGTCTGATATATTTAGGGTAATCTTCTGCAGCTGCCTTTTAGGAGAAAAGTACTTTATATAAATATATCATATACAGGACTGAAATCTGAGTGTCCAGATCTGCACAACCAAATAGATTAGTCATTCATTGTACAGTGGTTAACAGCATGGGCTTTGGAGCCATGCCCTTGAATTCCAATTCTTATGATACTACTTTCTGGCTCTATAACTAGACAAATTACTTAACCTTATGAGGATCATTATTAAGATTAAATGAATTAATACATACATGTAAAGATATAATTATGATCTTATCCTCCCAGTTTGATAAAGAACTCCAGAATCTAAGAACATCCTGTAGGCCGGGCATGGTGGCTCACACCTGTAATCCCAGCACTTTGGGAGGCCAAGGCGGGTAAAATGCCTGAGGTCAGGACTTCCAGACCAGCCTGGCCAACACGATGAAGCCCCGTCTCTACCAAAAATACAAAAGAAAATTAGCTGGTCATGGTGGCTGGTGCCTGTAATCCCAGCTACTCTGGAGGCTAAGGCAGGAGAATCACTTGAACAAATGCAGTGAGCTGAAATCACGCCACTGCACTCCAGCCTGGGCAACAAGAGAGAAACTGTCTCAAAAAAAGAGAAAATCCTATAAAAAGTATTAAGACAGCACTTTTAAGTAAAACTCACATTTCCCTCCATTTTAAGTCCTCCTATAAAGTCACGTATCTATACATATTTCTGTGGGAGGGTCAGTACTTATGAAAACAAACACATCTAAGTAGTGTAAAGGATGGCTTTAATATGAGTAAATGCACTGTTATGCTCAATTATTCTATAGTCTAGTGACACTGCAGACCTCCCAAATTCTCCCTAATTAAAATCAGGTAACTTAGAAGTTAATACAGTCTCTACAAAGACCTTTCACCCCTGAATATTTTAAGATTCTGCGAAGCATCAGGCCTTAGTTGTAGAACGTTTTAACTTAATGAAATTTTAGGGTATAATCTCTACAGTATGGGCCTCAAGCCAAACTAAGTGATCTCCAAAAATATGCCAACCTGTTTATCCCCTCACACCATTATGGACCAAACAATTACAGTTCCATTGACTCTCACAGCTCACTAAAGTGGTAAGAAAGAATGGAAAGATGTGGGTCATATTCCAATAATCAACAATTGTGTGACCTAACCAAAAGGACCTATTCGCTCAGTGACTCACTTCGTCCACCTGTATAGATATCTATGCTCTGAGATACTGAAAGAAATTAAAAGAGAGGGTGAATGAAATATCCCCTCTATGCCCACTAGCACATGGCACTTCTCAATTCATGTTCATTTCTCTTTCTTTATTTGAAGGAATGAAAGAAATCAGGAGCAATTTAAGACTTTTCACAGCACTGCTTGATCTCACCTTCTAATATCTTTGACAAAAACCATCTACAGGTTAAGCTGTGGAATCTCAACATAAATGCACATTTTTAGTGCTCCTTCAGCTTTACTTCAAAACCACTATAGGAACTAAAATAGGGTAGGAATAATCTTCTGACAGAATAGGGATAATATAACTTTTGTAATAAATGCCCACTTTAGAGTAAATAAGAAGATAAAGGAGGTATCATTGTAAGTTGATGAGAATCCTATGATCACTATCACTTTCTGGAAGAAGTCCCCAGAAATATCTAAATCTAGTAATTTTAATTGACTCAAACATCATTTTTAGTAGCCATTCTGGCATCCAAAAGGATGAGACTAAACAATGATATTCAAGATTAAGGGCCGGGCGCGGTGGCTCAAGCCTGTAATCCCAGCACTTTGGGAGGCTGAGACGGGTGGATCACGAGGTCAAGAGATCAAGACCATCCTGGTCAACAAGACGAAACCCCGTCTCTACTAAAACTACAAAAAATTAGCTGGGCATGGTGGTGCGTGCCTGTAATCCCAACTACTCAGGAGGCTGAGGCAGGAGAATTGCCTGAACCCAGGAGGCGGAGGTTGCGGTGAGCCGAGATCGCGCCATTGCACTCCAGCCTGGGTAACAAGAGCGAAACTCCGTCTCAAAAAAAAAAAAAAAAAGATTAATATTATTTGGAAATGTATTCCACAACTAATTTATTCTGAGGCTACCTGCCGGGATAGTCATCTCAAAATTAAACGTTCTATAGGTACAAAGTAATTTTAAGAGAAAATATTTTAATTTTAAAACTTACTCTTAAATTTTCTGGACCAAAGCATACCCTTCCACGTATAGAACTCGGGTTTTAACCAAATACTTGGTTGAAAACTATACAAATTCAGACATAACTGAAGTCTTGATTCTGCCACTTTCAAGATTGGGTGGTACAGATTCTTCTCATTCATGCCATTAGTTTCTAGCTCATGTGGTTCTTTATTCAAAGAATACTGATAACAGTCCTTCACAAAATGGTAGATTCAGTCTAAGGACTAAGACTAGATCATTCTGGAATAACAAGGGGTTACTTTTACAAACCCCACTTACCATTTGGTCCTAAGTTTTCATAAAAAAATTTATATAGGCAGCAGATGTATACAGAAAAACCTAGAGGAGGCCGGTTTAAATGTAAAATACCCACATACTCAAAGCGTAAGAACAATATACTTAAGACAAAACAATCTTGGAGCAATTGTCCAATATCACAAATACGGCAGTTACCCCTAAACAGTGTTCTGATTAATGGCAACCAATTTCCTTCAATCTTAAAGGCAACCAATTCAAGCCAGTAGGTTAAATCCTTAAAGTGTACTGAAATGCTACTCCTTTTTTCCGGGGAACCAGGTGAGAATTCTGTGCTAAGAACTAATCAGGGAAATGGATGTAATGAAAATAAGACGCTAAAATATAAGAAATACAAGCCTCCTTAATAATCAGCCAAGAAAAAGATAATCAGGTTATGTATCCTCCCGCCGATTCTTTCTGTCTTAAAACAACCTTTTGCCGAAGTCGGGTGGATTCATAGTAGAAATAAATGAACTTTACAATGAGTCAAATTCCACTAAAAATCAGAAGCGGGAGCTTACTCGTCCCCCAGGTCTGACCCGCCTGCAGCCCGAGGCCACCAAAAGACACACCTCCCTTCCCCCACCCACCACAGCCGGCTCTTCAGGTAACAGGCGTTTCTTCTCGCGCTGTCTGAACGAAAACAGTCCAGAAGGAACAGATTTCTTTTCTTAAAAACTGAACAAAAGCCAAAAACGCCACAAACACAACCTAAACCTTCTAAGCTCGACTACCCCCGTTCTGCACATTCCTTCACAGAAGGATGCCGAGCCCCGGGTGTCGGCGGAAACCAGGAAGCTCTCGGGGCCTCCCCGGGCCAGACCCGCACCCGAGAAGCCGCCGCGAGGCTCCGGGAGCCCCCGGTCACCCCAAGGCCGCGCCGCAGGCTTGAACAATGCGGCGGGTACAGCGGACTCGGAGCTTCCGAGCATGTTCGGGGACGGACGCCCGGCGTCCCGCGCTGGTTCCAGAGAGGCGGCGGGCGCGGGGCGCAGAGGCCTCCCTCCCGCCCAAGCCGCAGCCCGCGCCCGCCGCCGTCCCCGGGGACGGTACTCACACACGCACAGCTCCACCACGTACGCGTAGTAGGACCAGACGACCACGAAGGTGATGAAGAGCACTGGCACCCAGCCCACGACGCGCTGGCAGCAGCGCCACAGCGTCCAGGGCGCCATGTTCGGTTGGCGGCTGCGGAGCCCCGCGTCCCACCGTTCTGGGGAGCGCAGGAGCCCCGACGGCGACGACTCAGAGGCTCCGGGCGGCTCCTGGTCCAGCTCCCCCGCCTCCGAGGCAGGACTTGTGGGAGCAAAAGTCCCAGGCGCCGCCGGGACTCCTCCGGTCCCGGCGCCTGGCCAGGTCCCGCCCCCACCCCACATCCCGCCGCCCCCCTCCCCCCGCGTCCGTCCCCGCCCGCCCTCCGCCGGCTGCTGGCCGCCCACGGTCTCTGCGCCGTCAGGGGCGGGGCTTCCGCGGCCGGGGGGGACGAGGAGGGGGCGGGGCCGCCGCTCGGGACCGCCCATGGGCGTGGCGAGCTGGATGCAGACGGGTTGGGCGGTCTCTGGAGGCTGGGGAAGGAGAGGCGAAAAGCAACTCCTGATGGATGAGGGGGATAGGGGATGGATTTTGTGGGTCTAGACTCATGGGAGGAAGGAGACTATGGAAATGATTCTTTAGCTGATTTGTGGATCTTGGGCCTCTCTGTGTACAGAACACGCTCCACTGGGGTTCCTGGACACTGAGTAGTTGGGGCATTGATTCAAACATGACAAAGCCATTCCCCACTCAGTGTGCTAGGAATGCACATTGTTTGAAGGCTCCTCCTGTGATTTTGATGTCCATCTCTGCGGAACCCGTCCCTTTCTTGAAGATGGAATGGTAGATATCTGCAATTTTGGGTGGAAACCATGTAGGTAGGGTCCGTCAGTTTGATTCGGAACCCATATTTAAGATTGAGTAGCGAGAAGGAAAGAGCAAGTAAATGGCCCTCTCCTTGCCGCGCGAACGACTACGGAAATTTACAGAATTTATTTACAACTAGAGATTGCTAAGCAATGACGATAATCATATAGAACCTAGAAGCATCACAGTGAAGATTTCATAATGCAAGGTCAGACGCATTAGAAGGGATTCCAGACGACATTCTTAATGCCACTTCCTGCTGTTAGCATGCCAGTTTTGGTTAGAATTAGTTTTTGTGTTTGTTTTTTGAAACAGGGTTTTCTCGCTCTGTCGCCCAAGCTGGAGTGCAGTGGCGCAAATCTGGGCTCACTGAAGCCTCGACCTCCTGGGCTAAAGCTTCAGCCTCCAGAGTTGCGGGACTACAGGTGCGCCACTATGCCTGGCTAATTTTTGTATTTTGTGTAAAAATTAGGTTTTGTATTTTGTGTAAAAATTAGGTTTCGCCCTGTTGCCAGGCTGGCCCTGAACTCCAAGGCTCAAGGAATCCCACCCCCACCTCCGCTTCCCAAAGAAGTGCTGAGCTTACAGGTGTGAGCCACCGCGTACACTGAGCTTTTAATTAGCTACTGCTCACTAAAGTCTCCATGAAAAAGACTTCTCTCATTGCAGCGTCACAGAAATATAGTAAAAGCAAGTAACTATTTAACCATTGCACACTACTGCTTGAAGTAATAAAGCATGTATAAAAGATTCTGTTCTCCCTGATTTTGTGCCTTAGAAGTCATGTTAGTTAGTGGCCAAGTTGACAGTAGGTTCAGGGGATTCAAGTGGTTCAAGTTCAACTAGTTTTCCAGAGAGGCTGCTTCGGAGGGTTAGACCTCAACATAGAATTTGGATGGACATCGAAGAACAGAAAGCCCTTTCTCCTCCATGTCATCTCTGCATATCAAAATCATGCTCCTAGAGCTCAGCACAAAGGCCATGTCCTCTGCAAGTTCCAGGGCGGTTAGAAATGATCTTTCATGACATTTTGTTTATAACTTAGCTATGAAGCTGTCACATTCATTTCCTAGGGTGACTGTAACAAAGTACCACAAAACTGGGGAATTATAACAATAGAAATTTGTTGTCTTACAGTTTAGGAGGGTAGATGTCTCAAATCAAGGTGTTGGCAAGGATACTGGATATGGTTTGGATGTTTGTCCCCTCCAAATCCCATGTTGAAATGTGATCTCAGTGTTGGAGGTGGGGCCTGGTGGGAGGTAAGGGATCATGAGGGTGGATCCCTCATGAATGGTTTAGTGCCATCCCCTTGGATGAGGCGTTCTTTCTTTAGCAGTTCACATGAGAGCTGGTTGTTTAAAAGAGCCTGACCTTTCCCCACTCTCTCTCTTGCCCTCTCTTTTGCCATGTAATACCCTGGCTCCCCTTTGCCTTGTGCCATGATTGGAAGCTTCCTGAGGCCTCACCGGAAGCATATGCTGACCCCTTACTTCCTGTCCAGCCTACAGAGCTGTAGGCCAATTAATCCTCTTTTCTTTACAAATTACCCAGTCTCAGGTATTCCTGTATATCAATGCAAGAATGGCCTAACACAGCCATGTACCCTCTGAAACTTGTAAGGGAGAATTCTTCTTATTCTTCTTTGCTTCTTCCTAGCCGTTGGTGGTGGCCATCAGTCCCAGTCCATGGCATTCCTTAGCCTGCAGTGGCAGTGGCATCACCCCAATATCTACCTCTATCCTCAGGGGCTGTTCTCCTTTCCTGTGTCTCTCTCTTCTAATACTGGGTTAAGGGCCTACCCTATTGCAGTATGGCTTCATTTTAACTAATTACATCTACAACAGGCCCACTTCCAAATAAGGTCACTTTCTTTTTTTTTTTTTTTTTTTTGCTCTAATATTTTTTATTTCCTCAAATTTGATCCAAATTTATCAGTATTTTAAGAAGTTTTTAAAGTTTGGTATTTTTTTCTTATGCTGACAAAATCTGTCCTCTGCCTTGCCACCAGTTTTCAGTGGATTCACATTATTATAAAATATTTTTGAAGGCTGACATTTGCTAACACCAAATTTTCTTCTCTATGTATGTAACTTCAAGTTCATTGCACATCTGTGCAATCTCAGAGTTCAAAACCTAATACATCCACTTTTAGAAATTTCCTTTACAGATCACTATTTTTACCATGGCTTTAAGAATAAGACACATAGCTGGGCGCAGTGGCTCACGCCTGTAATCCCAGCACTTTGGGAGGCCGAGGTGAGCAGATCACCTGAGGTCGGGAGTTCGAGACCAGCCTGACCAACATGGAGAAACCCCATCTCTACTAAAAATAAAAAATTAGCCAGGCGTGGTGGCACATGCCTGTAATCCCAGCTACTTGGGAGGCTGAGGCAGGAGAATCACTTGAACCTGGGAGCCGGAGGTTGTGAGCCAAGATCGCACCACTGCACTCCAGCCTGGGCAACAAGAACGAAACTCCATCTCAAAATAAAGAAACAAAAAAACACTTAAATAAATGTGTATGCTTTTCTCTTGTTAATCTGTCTTTTATGACAGGTGCCTCAGCTATGAAATTTGCACTGGGTGAGAAATCTTTTCTCCCCTACACTACCAACTAACAAAATATTCTTTGAGAACTTCAGAAGGGCCATGTCTTGCTTTAGGAGCAGGTGAGTTAGGGAAAATTGCAAGTCCACACTCTTTAGTGATGCTCTGGGGAGGGAGAGAAGGAACAATAGCAGGTTTAGGGTGGGATGAGGAAGGAGAAAAGGGAGGAGGAGTGGTTCAGGAAGCAGAGGCGTTACCTGTAGCTGGAAACCCAGTTTGCTCACTCCTTTAATCTTCCCCTGTGTACATCCTGGCCTCAACTCTCACCTGGATTAGCTCACAGCCTCCCTGCTGCTGCCCCACAGGCCCCTGTCCTCCTCCAGCCCTCTGTAAACACTCCATTCCTGTGCTCGTCCAGCAACAAACCTGTTCTGATAACCTTCTTTGTGCTAAGCACTAGGGAACAGAGAGAAAATCTTTGCTCTTGCGTAGCTTTGGTTTTTTCTTTGTTTTCTATTTTCCTCCAGTCTGCAGAATGAGCCTTTAGAAAATTAAATGTGCTTCGGCCGGGCGCGGTGGCTCAAGCCTGTAATCCCAGCACTTTGGGAGGCTGAGGCGGGTGGATCACGAGGTCAGGAGATCGAGACCATCCTGGTCAACATGGTGAAACCCCGTCTCTACTAAAAATACAAAAAATTAGCTGGGCATGGTGGCACATGCCTGTAGTCCCAGCTACTCGGGAGGCTGAGGCAGGAGAATTGCTTGAACCCAGTAGGCGGAGGTTGCGGTGAGCCGAGATTGCGCCATTGCACTCCAGCCTGGGTAACATGAGTGAAACTCCGTCTCAAAAAAAAAAAAAAAAAAAAAAAAAAGAAAATTAAATCTGCTTCACGCACTTGAATGGTCTGAATGATGGGGCATTAAGGAGGGCTTCCCAGGCCCTGAAGCTCACCTCCCTTCCTGCCCTACCTCATCTCCACCCCTCTTCCTTCCAGATGGCCTGCCCAAGGCAGCCTTTCTTCTCTGTGAACCTCAGCACACGTTTGCACGGGCCATGCTGTTCCATCTGGGAGCTCTGCCTGCAAAATTTGGCCTCTTCCTCCTCACCCCGGATTCCTCACCCCTCCCTCAGACCTGGCTTCCTACTAAGGAATAAGAAAAAACAATAACCTCCCACCTGACTGATCAGACCCCCTCTTGGCCAAGAGGGCCCTACAGAAACCTTAAAAACCGAGCTCCGGGACATGATGGGATGGTAGGGTCACATGCCTCATTACAGCCTCTCCCTTTTGTGGTTTAAATACAACTGACCAACATCGATAGTAAAATAGAGATCACAAGACTAAGAAAATGGAGTCTTTGTGGCAGTGAGACATCAAGTAATAAAAAGACCATGCCAGGCAAGGGTTAAGTGGTGAACTCCTGCACTTAAAGAATCAGTTATGCTCCAAATGCTGCAAGGGTTTTTGTTTGTTTGTTTTTTCTCTAGCAGCTAAACAAGAGCTGATGTGGAGATAAAAAATACTGAAACAATTACAGCTCCTCTGACCACACACTGGCCCCAACACCCCCATTACACCAGCCATAGCTGCAGCTTTGATTGGACAAGAGACATTTCAGTAACTTTCTCTTGGTAAGAGATCACCGACCATGGACTGGTTCTGGCCAGTTCACAGAGGCTGTGCACTGAGTGTCTTTGCATCACTGCCTCGCTTTTTGATGTATAGGGCCTGACTGTAATGCATTGAAATATTAAGGCTCGTCCATGGCCATACCACCCCGAATGTGCTGGATCTTGTCTGAAATATTAAGGCTCTACTTCAAGGCAAACATGGGTCACATGTAACATACATGTTTATCCCGTCTGCATGCTTTAGGCCTCCCTCACAAATATTTGTAAGATTATCCTGTAACCTACTGAATA